GCCCCACAGAGGGCGGGCGGGGACTCTCCCGCCGCCGTTTCTTACTCGCCGTCAGCTCTGCAGCCCGTCTTTGCGGGAGGCGCGTTCTGCCGCCACGCCAGGGAGACGCTGCGCGCGGGCCCGGAGGCGCACAGGGAGACCACAGAAGGCGGGGACGGGGCGGCGAGCGCAGTCACCGTCTGGGCCCGGGAGAGAAGTCGATGGGACCGGGTGTGTGCTGGGGGTGGGGGCGCCGCGTCAATGAACCGACATCGCAGGTGGCTCGGAGAAAGGCCTCTCCGCGCAGTCCCGGTGCCCGGGCCTCCACCTCCAGCCGCGCGCCTCCGCCAGATCCGGCGCAGGTGCTGGGCATCCTCGGGCGCACGGTGACGCGCTGGCCGGGGCTGGCGGGCCAGCTGGGGACCGTGGAGTCCCTGCAGGCCGCCCAGAGGCGCCATCACGGAAGGGCTGGGTCTTGGGGTCCCGCGCCATGGGGCACCCACGGACGCTGGCCGCGTGACGCCAGGATGCCCGCTGCAGGGATGCCAGGGTGCCTGAGCGCAGGAGTGCTAGGGGTGGGGGCGGTGCAGGGGTGCTAGATGCGGGGTGCTGTGGTTACCAGGGTGCAGGCAGGCCGCGGTGCGCGGAAGATGCCTGGATACGGAGGGGAGCCGCGGCCCCCCCTCCTTTGCACAATCCCGGCCGAGCCGCCTACGCAAACCGGGAGGGAGCAGCCGTTGCTAGCATTTGTCCCAATTGGGCGGTTTTGATTGGTCCAAATTCAATCCTACCCGCCCCTTACCGCAAACCGATTGGCTGATGTGCCCTCTCCAAAGATATCCTTCATTCCGTCTTGCGGCGTCCCATCTTTGTTTCTGAGTTTGGAATTTGTGGTATTTTATGCACGTCTGTGCCTTAATGTTTTCTCCCCTGTGCTTGGACATCGTCGTGATTTCCTGACTCGCGTGTGACGCAGGGATGCGACTGCTTTGGAGTGAAGAGTGGCGGTGGGGACCAGCCTGGGATGTCCCTCGTGGTATGCCCGGGTCGTAGCCAACTGGCCGCCCACCCCCACACTCCCCTCCCTGCGCCCGGCCCCCAGCCCTCGGGCTCGGGTCCCTGCGCTCCTCCCGCCTGCCTCTCCTAGGGTGGAGGCCACTTCTGAAAATGTACAAATTCTTCCCATCAAAAGAGCCTTCTGATGTGTGCGTTGTCTGGTTTCCATATCTCCTCCAACCCCCGCTTGAGGCCACTAAATTTGGGAGCCCTTAAAATATCTAATTACCGTGCTTAGGAAATGTAGAAACTTGGGGCGGGGAGCTCACTCCCCCTGGAAAACGGTTCACCAAAATCTACTGGAAAGCCGAGCGGCTGGGCGGGGTGAACGGGGCGGCCGAAGGCGCTCGGGTCGGGAGGGCCTCAGCCCCGGGCAGGAGTGCGCGGCGCGCTGGGACGCGAATGGAGTTTGCGCATTCACCGTGGTGCTCACAAATTTGCTTTCGCTCCTGTTTCGCTCCCGCCGGCACATCCCCTGTCCTTCCTTCCCACCTGCCTCTGGTATTCGCAGCTCTTTCCTAGTTGCTGAAATGCAACGGAAATGGGTACAAAAGCTGCGTCGGAAACGTGGGCGTTGGGAATCCTGCCGTTTTACCGCCTCGCCTTGGTCCGAACGTGGGCGCTTCTGGGCGCCAGGCCGCGGTGAGCACCTGCCTTCACCACGGGAGCCCCAAGGTGCCGGCCCAGCGCGAAGTAGTGCCTTTAAGACTGGGGTCTCCCCAGCGACACAACCCTGAGCCACAGCAGACGTCCGGGTGGAAATGCTCCCCGGCGGGGGCAGGAAGGCCTTTGTACCCGGAATGCCAACTGGAAGCTGTGCGGAGGACAAAGGCTGCGCAAAGCCTCTTTTCCTTCTTTGCAATCTTGCAAGCATTAAGCCAGGTCCCTTGGTCTACTCTATGGCACGCCCTGTCATTTCAGCCTCTCCGGCTTCCTCCAGCTCTAAATCTCCAAATGTTCTCATTAGTCCTTTTCCCATCTGTAGGGTGCTGCTGGCCCCAGGCAGATGCCCACCTCCCCGTGGGGTCTGGATGTGGCCTGCTTTTCTTTAGCTATTCCAAGATAGACAGTCAGCACTCTCTGGGGGAAAATAACACCACAAAACGTGTCACGTGTCTGCCATTGCAATGTGCCATACCATTTCTATTAAATGCTTATTTGTGAGAATTTTAAAGGGACCTGGCCTCTTGGCTGGGGGATGAAGGGAGTGGAGAGCACTCACTGCAGGAAGTCTTTATGCTAGTAGAAAAGGAAGCACTGTCTGGGGCTGCACAAAAATCTAAGATGTTAAGATGGGCTCATTTCTTGCATTCAGTCATTCATTCAATGCATTTATTGACTGGCTTCCAGCACAAAGGACTCTGAACTCTAGAACCATTAAAGAAGGGGGGAGGAGGTGTTTTTTAAAATAATCCAAACCTCTTTTTATTTTTATTTTTTTCGGAAACAGGCTTTCCTTCTGTCACCCAGGCTGGAGTACAGTGGCATCCTCAGAGCTCCCTGAACTCCTGGGCTCAGGCAATCTTCTTGCCTCAGCCTCTGAAGTAGCTGGGATTACAGGCACACAATCCAACACCCCACTAACTGTTAAACTTTTTGTAGAGACAGAGTCTGGCTATGTTGCCAAGGCTGGTCTCAAACTCCTGGCCTTAAGCAGCCCTCCTGCCTGGGCCTCCCAAAGTGCAGGTGTGAGCCTCCAGGCCAAGCCCTAACCTAACCCTCTTTAAAATTAGTCTTCTGGGCCATTACTCACCTGCTCCTGGTAGCTAAGCTGGAAGCCACTGCTTCTTTTTTTGTTTGTTTTTCTTTTCCTTTCCCCTCTCCTTCCCTCCCTCTTCTTTTTTTCTCATGAGGAAAATCTCAAGTTTATCCCATAGAGAGTGTCCCACCTGTCAAAACATCATGTGGTCTCCATCCCAAAACACTGTCTCAGTGGGCTAAGCTTGCTATAACAGAATACCACAGACTAAGCGGCTTAAACAACAAAAATTTATTTCTCACAGTCTTGAGGCTAGAAGTCTGAGATCAGGTTCCCTCTTCCTGGTCCAAAGGAGGTCCCTCTTCCTGGTCCGAAAGACAGCCACCTTCCCACTGTGTCCTCATGTGGCAACTGTAGGAGCTCAGAAAACAATGCCCCCAAATAAAGGCCTCAGAAGCAGCCTCTGAAGCAAAATTTTCTCTCCTACCTTCTCCTGCCCTCCTGTCTCTCAGTCCCATCCTCCCCGCTGTCTAGCCAGAGAAACCAGAACCCCTTTTCCCTAAAGCCAGACACAACACCCAAAAATATGACTCTAACTTTCCACCCTGCCTTTCTGTATAAAAAGAGGCTGTAGAGAAATTCTGTGACCCACCTTGTTTGACCATAGGTCCTGAAACACTCAACCCAGAGTGGGCCCTGCCCACACCCAGAAGGAAGGATGCTGCTCACAGAAGCCAAGAAGAATCCAGACAGACAGGACTTGCACTCAGCCTGCTAGCATCAGATCATATCCTTTTTGTCCAATCATATTTCTGCACAGCTGTCCATAGTTTGTTTAATCTAAACACAAAAATGGAGTTTCCCCTCTATCTTTGGATCTTCATTCTACAGGCTCCCATGTCATGTAAAACTGTGATCAAATACAGGTGGATGCCTTTTCTCCTATGAATCTGCCTTTTGCAGTTAATTTTTCAGTGACCCTTCAGTGGGTGATAGGGAAATTTTCCCTTGGCACCTATAGCAGTGAGAAAGAGCAAAGTGAGCTCTCTTGTATCTGTTCTTCTACAGGCACTAATCCCATTATGAGGGCTGCACCCTCATGATGTAATCACCTCCTAAAGGCCCCACTGCCTAACACCATCACCTTGGGGAAGAGGGTTTTCGGCCTGTGAATTTGTGGGTGACACAAATATTCAGTCCATAGCAATGACCCATGAGAAGCTGGGCTGATCTCCTGACACTACCAAGCAGCCACTATATGGGGGCCAGAGCAACTCCTAAATCTTAGCGTCTACACTGAAAGACAACTTCTTCCCCAAAGACCTTCCTGGAAGCACCTGCCATCCTACTCAAAGTTTTGTTCCAAACCTACCCACCCCAGTAGGAACCCAGGATGGCAAGTTCTTGTCAAGCTAATTTACTAGGGCTCTTGGTAACACTGATTTTCCAAGGAAGTGCACGGATGGGCCTAGCAGGAGGACCAGGAGGAGCCTGACTACAGTTTGGCCAAGCTGAGACTCTGACATAGAGCATACCCTGCAGGGCCGTTAAAAGAACTAAATTGAATTAAGCATTTATAAGTATTAAGTCGTTACCTAGCTTCTAGCAAGCACTCTGGAAATGTTTGCTAAACCCATTGCATATTTGAAAAGGAAACATTTTTTAAAATGGTTAAAGATTAGTATGTCCAAAGCAGCTCAGGGAACTCTGAGATTACACAGCTGCAAGTGTGCAACAGGCCTCAGAAGAGAGACTTGACTGCAGAGGGCACTGCCTCGGTTAACAGGCTTATTTACTTGACAAACATTGACTGGACCTTCACTAGGTGCCAAGTTCTTTGCTGGGCCCTGGAGATTCAGACTTGAAAGCCACATCCTCCTTGCCCTGTGCATTACAGCTTAGTCCTGCTGTGGTGGGAGAGAGAAAGGCTCATGCTACACAGTTATGTGATGGAGCTGTCCAGGGCATAAACAGAGCTCAGCTGAGGTAGCCCAAGCTGCTGTGGCTGGGTCAGTCCTAAGGAGGAAAGGAGTTAAGAGGAATTCGGCACAAAATATGTTCTGGGCACCCTGCCAGTTGCTTCACACACATCAGCTCTCCAGAAACCCTGTCAAGGTTGCACTTCCAGCCTCGTTTTACAGATGAGGACATGGGGGATCCAAGAAGGTAAATAATTTGCCCAAGGTAGGGCAGATAAATGACCTCCCGACCAGGACTTCTCAAATTGCAAAGTGCACACACACACACACCTTTTAAAAATGCAGATTGACTCAGCCCTTTTGGAATGGGGCCCAAGACTGCTTTTCTAACCAGCACTGCAGGTGATGCTGAACTTCTTTATACCTTATGTTTCTTTGTTGGAAGTTAATAGAACAGGGGAGGCAACTCAGAGACTAGTGCCTTCCCTAAGCCTGTGTCCTCATGGGTGTAATTGCAGAGCAACACTAGTACCTACCTCTCTCGGATGTATTAGGAGACAGAAAAGATTATGCATCTCAAGCGCTTAGCATTAGGGCTGTCACCTTAAGGGGATTTCAGGGGCCCTAATAACAATTGGGTGGACTAGCATTTCATTTGAAACTCATTATTCTCTCCAGTGGAAAATCAGCTCTGTGCCTGGCTACACGTCTAATACCTTAGCATATTTTCTGTTTCCTAATGAACTGTTTGGATCTACTCTTGAATTCTGAAATGAACGTATCACTTTGGCCATGGGGGATGGGGATGACAGGACATAACTGGTTAAGACAGTTGCAAGCCGCCATTCCCCCGCCCCTGCCATCTCCCTTGCTAGATAAGCGCCAGCTCCCGCTCCCCAGCTGTATGTAGGCTGCAGGAAGAAGTGCCCTAGTGTAACTGCCTCACAGCCGGAGAAGCCCGAGATGCGGGGCTGCAAGTTTTCCCTTCTTCCCCGGCCGCTTCCAGACCCGCCACCCACACAGACACACACAAAAGCCCCCTCCCGGTTAGAGACAAAGGGCTTGGACAAAGGTGCGCATCTGTAGCTCCGGCCGGCGCCAGACGTGCTTTTGCATTGGTTGCCCTACCATCCAATTGGAAAGAAGAGCCAGCACGTCCTATTTACATAACTCCTTCCCGTTGGTGGACGGGCGCAGCGGGCCGTCCAATGGGACGCGAGAGATTTGGAGCCTTCATTTGAATATAAAGATGACAAATAACCCCGCTCTGCCCGCCTAGCCCGTTCATCCGGGCGCCGTCGCTGCCTCGCCATGCCGGAGCCTTCGCGCTCGGCTCCGGCGCCCAAGAAGGGCTCCAAAAAGGCCATCTCCAAGGCGCAGAAGAAGGACGGCAAGAAGCGCAAGCGCGGCCGCAAGGAGAGCTACTCCATCTACGTGTACAAGGTGCTGAAGCAGGTGCACCCGGACACGGGCATCTCGTCCAAGGCCATGGGCATCATGAACTCGTTCGTCAACGACATCTTCGAGCGCATCGCCAGCGAGGCGTCCCGCCTGGCGCACTACAACAAGCGCTCGACCATCACGTCCCGCGAGGTGCAGACGGCCGTGCGCCTGCTGCTGCCCGGCGAGCTGGCCAAGCACGCCGTGTCCGAGGGCACCAAGGCCGTCACCAAGTACACCAGCTCCAAGTGAGGCGCGCCGCGGTGCGCCCCGAACCCAAAGGCTCTTTTCAGAGCCACCTCCAAGCTCAGAAAGGAGCGTGCCACCTGGTCTGGCCGTAGCCTGTGGCCTGAGTCAATGGGGTGGTGAGGGGAGGTGCAGTGCGCAGCGGGGACGCAAGTCTTGAAGTAAAACTGGTGACACTTGCTGTGCATATTGGCACGTTTCTCTTTAAAAACGCTTACTGGGGCCCTGCGCCAGTGGTTCACCTTCCTATAATCCCAGCACTTTGTGGAAGACCCAGGCGGGGAGGATCGCTCCAGGGCAGGAGTTGGAGACCTGCCTGAGTAACATAGCCAGACTCCTGTTTCTACCAAAAATTTAGAAATCCGGGCAGGCGCGGTGGCGCGGGCTTGTAGTCCCCGCTACTTGGGAGGCTGAGGAGGGAGGATGGAGTTGGAGGTTGCCGTGAGCTATGATCACGCCACTGCAGTCCTGCCTGGGCGACAGAGCGAGACCTTATCTCAAAAGCAAACAAAACAAAAAAGCGCTTGCTGGATTCTGGGTTAGGCCTGGCCACAGTTAGAAGCTGGAGAGGGCGATTGCGCTCTGTGGATCTCAACCCGAGATCCCTCTGCGCGTGGCGTGCGCCGTGCGTGTGAGGCGCGTGAGTCCCCTGCAGATCTTGTGCGGCCCCTGCGGGTGAGGCTGGAGGACGTGCTCGGTGAGGCCTTTGCGTTGTTGTCGCGCCGCCCAGACGGTGGCGCTTGGGGCCTTCCTCCCCCCCCTTCCCTCCTCCCTTTGCTGAGCTTCTGGCCAGAAAAAACGAACATTTCAGCAGCTTTGCGCCTAAGCGGCCCTCGGTGCCGCGCGTTCCCGTTTGAAACATCAAGACGGCAGGCGCACAGATCCTGGTCTTCAGCCTTAGCACTCAGCGGAAATCTCCCGCTCAGAAATTCTGGTACTTCTCCAACCCAGAATGTGCGTGTGTTTGTGTGTGTGTGCGTGTAAGCTTGATAAACGGTGAAAAATCCTCTTGAAGCAAATGCTGTGCCTTTTAAATTTTTTTTCAGCAAATCATAGGCCAAATAAGTATGATGTTCGCTGGATGACACACTAAGTAACAACTAAGGCCTTCCAGCTGTCCTTCCCCTAAAACATCCCCAGTACCGTGGGCTCTAGTGAGGAACAATGCCTGCCAGCGAGCCGCCCTCCGAGAGCTGAAACACTGCCCGGGATTTGGATTCCAGGCCCAGGCTCAGTTCCCACTTAGGGACAATGGCCGTGTGACCCCACACCACCTCCAGGTACTGGAGGACAAGGACGCATTCCTCAACATTTAACCTCTTATTGTCTCACAAAGTAAATTTATTGTGTTTGTAGTTTCTTTTTAAAAGGACAGTTTTCCTCCCTTCATAATTTTTTTAAAATAAGCTTTATTTTTATAGCACTTTTAGATCCTACAGGCTTTTTATTTTTTTAATTGATGCGTAATAGTTGTACATATTTTGGGGGTGCGTGTGGTATTTTAATACATGCATAGAATGTGTAAGGCTCTCGCCAGGGCAATTAGGACATCTATCACCCCAAACATTCACCCCCATTTTAGGTTGGGAACATTCCTATTCCTCTCCTTTGAACCTTACAACAAATTATTAACTATACTCACCATACTGTACTGTTAAACTCTAAGTCGTATTCCTTCTATCAAACCATATATCTGTACCCATTAATCAACTTCTCTTCATCTACCTCCCCACTACTCTTCCCAGCCCCTGGTGGCCACCAGTCAATTCTCTCTGTCCATAAGATCCACTTTTTTTAGCTTCCACATATAATTGAGAACATGCTGTGTCTTTCTGTGCCTGGCTTATTTCACTTAAAATAACCTAACATCCTCCAGCTCCATTCATGTTGCTGCTGATTGACAGGATTTCATTCTTTTTATGGCTCAATAATATTCCATTGTATTTACCACACTTTCTTTACTCATTCATTTGTTGGTGGGCACTTAGGTTGATTCCATTTCTTGGCTACTGTGACTAGTGCTGTAATGAACATGGGAGTGCAGCTATCTCTTTGATATATTGATTTCTTTTCTTTGGGGTATATTTAGCCAGTGGTAGGATTGCTGGGTCATATGGTAGTTTTGTTTTTAGTTTCTTGAGTAATCTCCATACTGTTTTCCACAGTGGTTGTACTAATTTACCTTCCCATCAGCAGTACAGTAGGAATTTAACAGTGTAGCCCTATCTCTGCATCCTTGCCAGCATCATTTTTTTAACCTTTTTGAGCAAAGCCATTTTAACTGGGTTGATTCCCTCCAAATTGTTTGATTTACTCCATAATAATTAACAAATTTGACTTGAAATTTCTAGCTGAGATGGGTGAGGGGCAGTTTCTTAAATGCATTTCACATTTTATGTCTCCCACATCCCTCCAGTTCATTCCAGAAACTTAATTTAGGAATGTGGCTTAATTATTTCTGACCCAGAGAATGCTTCCATTTTGTGAAATGAGTCCTAATTCTCCCCAGACTCTATGATTCTCATGTATTTGATGTGTGGGCCCTGCCCTCCTACAATGTTGACATTCAACTTCACATTTGTCTTTCTCTGTTGTAACGATGTGATTATAGACATGGGTTTTGTACACAATTTCAGTTTTCTTGATTATAAAATGGCAATAGCAGGAACCCTGTTTTAGCTTTTTTCCATTTCCCTGAACAGATTCTGTCCTGGAAGGGAGAGAGATCAGCCCCACCCATGCTGGGCCTGCGGCAGCTGGGGTAGCAAGTAGAGGAAGCCTATTTTTACTTTAAGCTTATGCCAGGAGTCAGAAGGACTGAGAAATTGACATTTGGCATCATACACCACAAAATGTATTCTTACAGAATTATTTTTGGAAATTTTGATTACATGTTCATTTTGTGCCTTGATTTTATCTCTGGCACTAACCAATGTTTTTGCCTAGTGCTAACACAATCAATCACACTCCTCTCTCTTTGCCAGAGACAGGTTTCATCTTATTAAACCTGTTTTAAGCTCATTAAGGGAAATAATTAGGTGCATCTATGAGAGCAGTTTCATGACTGCAAATGCTTGTTTAGGATATTGGCTCCAGATTTACAATCTATGATCTACACTGGTAGGAGGGTGAGGGCTTGGCTGTGTCATTCAGCAGGTGCCTGTTTCAAAGAGGAAAGACTGAATTCCATAGATTTTAATGCAAATCCTGTATTTCTTGACAGGATTAAGGGTATTGATAGTTCTCACTTTTGATGATGGATCTGTTTAATTTTTGGATTATAACTAGCGAGGCAAAGAATTAAGTAAAATGGCTATAACAAAATTTCCACTCCTATGTATTTCTTTTCTTTTTAAATTTTTAATTCAGTCTCCATAGAGACTGTCAAAAATTGCCAGTGCCGACTATATTGCAAGTCATCACTGTGAGGTATTGGGAAAAGTTTTCGATTAGCAGCAATAATCATACCTTGGATAAACCTCATGGGCTACAATACTGCCGCTGTGCAAAGCTGTATTTATTTTCATAAATATTTTGTGAAGCACATATCTAGAGAAAACAATGGAATGGAAACCATTCTGGATAATACTGTTCATGTCTGTGTATGCATGAAATAATAGACACCAAAAAACACGAGGGAGGGTGCACCATTACCTCATTCCAAGAGTCAGTTTCTTCTGCAAAGATTTTTTTTAAAGAGTCAGTTTCACTAAAATGTGTTTTGTTTGATAATAATGAACACTCATTTATGTTTTAAACAATAGTGCACTGTCCAGATGATTTTTTAAACACTGACTTTTGGTTACTTAGAAGTGTTTTAATTTACAGACTTTCTTGCAAAAAAAAAAGTAATATGTAGAGCATGATTAAATATACTATACATATACATACTATGGTAGGATGAAATTCTGAGGCAAAAGGGGAATGGAAATATGCATTCATCAAGGAAAAATCATCTAAAATAGCTCAGTATCAAAGAAAAATTGGTCATGTATTTATATTATGATATCAAATTGATGTAGGTATCTTTCAAAGACTGATAGGACTTTTTTTTTTAGTCCTATGTGGGGATTTGCATCCTTGCAACCATTTGAACCTATGATAAAAATATTTTAGATGACTTTAAGAACACGTTAGGTTTTCAAAGACTCTGTTTTAGAGTGTACCCACGCTCCTGCGTGGGTAAAGGGGGAGAGGTGACAGCCATTGTGGCCGAGGATGTTCGCGTGGTGACCTTTCCTCCCCTAACCCTGCCCGCCCTAGCTTGGGCACGGGACCGGCTCCGTTTGGAGAGATGGCTAGGAAAAAAAAATTATTTTATTGGATTTTATTGAGTTCTTATTTCTTGCCAGAAACGATGACAAAAACTCTCAATAATTATAATTCTCACAATGGCTAGAAGAAGTAATTATTAAGAATCCTTTTTATAAATAAACCAAGCCAAGAAAAAGGCAAGCCACGTCCTTTCCGGAGCGAAACTCTTCATGCCAAAGCGCTTTCCTGCGCCAAAATGGGCACTCTCCATAAATGCCACGAATTTGGAGAAAAAACGGGATTTTGTGTCGCTAAAGATTCACATAAAATAACGTGCAGCCAACTACTAATACATTTGCTCAGGAAAAGCGCATTCTTTTCCTGTTAAATTAACCCCTTCCCCGCCCTCCAGCAGCTGGGGTCGCTTATTATTATACATCCAGCTCCCGCGCACAGAGCGCTACGATATCGCTGCGTTTCGATTTCCATTTCAAACCTCCTGCCATTGCAGGATCCTGCCAGACCCACGGTTTCTAAAATGTTAAACGCCTGGGCATGAAAATGTCTATCAGGTGAAGGCAGGGATAAAAATGTCTTCAGAAAAACGCAGAGCCAGGCACGACCGCCAGGGCAGCGTGACAACACCCTGGGCCTTATGGAGCTCGAGACCTAGCGCCATCCAGACTCCCTGGAGGGGATAGGGGGCGGGGAGGGATAGAGGTTGGCACGGGGGCCTCCTGGGGGAGGCGACCCGCGCTCCTTACGTGAACGGCACACGCCAAGCTCAGGTGGACCCGGCCTTGGATGGGATACAAGCGCTCGAGTCAGAAAAGCATCCTTTGCTATTAAAGGACATTTGGAACTGAAAGCTGTTTTTGCGCCATGGTACAGGCTGACAGCTCCGAAGGGAGGCGAGGGTGGACACATGGGAGTCCTTGATCGCCTCCCACGAACATTACTCAGCTTTTATTCCTTGGTCGCCGTTTGCATCACGAATGTCTGCAACTGGCACTTCCCCCTTGTCATTCATACACGCGCGCGCGCGCGGGCAGACACACGCGCGCACACACACGACTCAGCCCCGGCCGCACCCTGCAACCAGGGAGCCGCCAAGGCGCACGCAAATACAGGAGGTTACGTAACAACCCCTCACCGTGTTCGACACCCTTTCTCGATTGTGTGGGTGGCTCTGAAAAGAGCCTTTGGGTTCGGGGCGCACCGCGGCGCGCCTCACTTGGAGCTGGTGTACTTGGTGACGGCCTTGGTGCCCTCGGACACGGCGTGCTTGGCCAGCTCGCCGGGCAGCAGCAGGCGCACGGCCGTCTGCACCTCGCGGGACGTGATGGTCGAGCGCTTGTTGTAGTGCGCCAGGCGGGACGCCTCGCTGGCGATGCGCTCGAAGATGTCGTTGACGAACGAGTTCATGATGCCCATGGCCTTGGACGAGATGCCGGTGTCGGGGTGCACTTGCTTCAGCACCTTGTACACGTAGATGGAGTAGCTCTCCTTGCGGCTGCGCTTGCGCTTCTTGCCGTCCTTCTTCTGCGCCTTGGTGACGGCCTTTTTGGAGCCCTTCTTGGGCGCCGGAGCCGACTTGGACGGGTCTGGCATGATGGCGAGTCTCTCCGAACAGAAACGACAGTCCCCGGGAGCAACTGTATTTGTAGGTCTTGTATTCAAATGAAGGATTGGCATTTGCTCACTTCTGATTGGATCAAATGTCGCTCTACGTCATCGCTGGGCAAGGCATATGCAAATAAGGAGAAGCCGGGCTCCTTTTCTGATTGGTTGCCGTTGCTAACCAATCGAACGCCGCCGGCTAGCCGACCTCCGGACCATATATAAGGGCTCGCTGCGCCCCGCCGCCTCGTTGTTTTCGGTACTGTCTTTCGGTTTTTCTGGGCTTGTGCGCTCGCTCGCTTCAGAGATGTCTGGCCGGGGCAAACAGGGCGGCAAGGCGCGCGCCAAGGCCAAGTCGCGCTCGTCGCGCGCGGGGCTGCAGTTTCCCGTGGGCCGCGTGCACCGGCTGCTCCGCAAGGGCAACTACTCGGAGCGCGTGGGCGCCGGCGCCCCTGTCTACCTGGCCGCCGTGCTCGAGTACCTGACGGCCGAGATCCTGGAGCTGGCGGGCAACGCGGCGCGCGACAACAAGAAGACGCGCATCATACCGCGCCACCTGCAGCTGGCCATCCGCAACGACGAGGAGCTCAACAAGCTGCTGGGCCGCGTGACCATCGCGCAGGGCGGCGTCCTGCCCAACATCCAGGCCGTGCTGCTGCCCAAGAAGACCGAGAGTCACCACAAGGCCAAGGGCAAGTGAGGCCGGCGCCCTTCCGCGGACACCAAAGGCTCTTTTCAGAGCCACCCATCTGCTCGGGAAAAGAGCTGCACCCAACCCGCGCCCGCCCGCAGGCCCGTGGCCTAGTCACCTTGGGCGCGCTAATGAGCGCCTCGGTGCTGGGCTGGGACGCGGCCGGGAGCTGGGACCCGGGGCTGGCTGGGCCGCGCAGCCTCTCGCCAGGTAGGCTACCTGTGCCTCTTGCCGCAGGGAGCGCTCGCTCGTTACCCACAGGCGGCCACCCTTGCGTGTGAATCTCTCGCCCCAAAATCTCTCTTGGGGTTTTAACCCCGCCCACCCCAAAGGTGTCCGCATGGCTGCTAGCGATACGTTAGCGTCTTTGACTCTGGAAAGGTTCGCCTTTGGACATGTCCGAGATGGGTTTTCTGATCCCAGGGACAATCGCGTTCATTCATCTGGTATTAAAAGTATTTGCAATCTTTTACGAATTTGCCATCTGCAATTCTAATGGGTAAATCTTGGGGAATTCCATTTAGAATGTAAATTGAGATTGCCAAATTTTAACACTGTGAGGTCTGCGGGAGTTACGATTTGGTTTGTTGGGTTGGAATTGTAAAAGGTCTTGAAAAGGGTTCAGTACTTCAAAAAGAACCACATTATTAGATCTTAAAAGGAGGCGTAAACGTTTTAAGAATTAATTGTGAGCAGGGTAATTATTTGAAGGAACTTAAGTTTATTTTGGGTTGGTTAGACATTAATCAAAGGCCCCCTTAATTTGATTGATAAAATTGGGAGAACAAAATAATTTATACAGTGAATTTGATAAGGAAAAGTAGGTTTCTGAGCTTAGCAAATTTAAAATGAATACTGTTAGAACCACATTAAGTAGTATTTGTGGATTTTTAGGAAGATGACCCTTTCATGAACTCCACAATGCAAAATAAAGGAGGGCTGGAGAATTCCAGAGACTTCCAGACTAGATCAGCTGAGAAATGGCCATGTTAACAGCACCTGCCTCACAGGGGAGAAGGCATTAATGGAGTTAATGCACGATAATCCCTTAAAATGCCCAGTCCAAAATCAGAGCTCAGAAAGCGTTAGCTTTATTCCTGTTACGGTTATCTATAGTTTTGTTTTTCAAAATATGGATAAGTTCTTTATTTTAATTTTTTAATGGACACAATTTTGCACACAGTTATGGAGAATGTAGTGATGTCACAATACGTGTAATGTATAGTGAGTAAAATAGGGTAATGAGCCATTTTTTATTGTAATTATAAATACAACAATTTGTATTATTATAAGGTCAGTAAGATAATTCAGGAATATTATACATATGTATTCTACTAAAATTGGGTCTACCCAAACCAGGATTCCTTGGACACCATCTGGAGCTAACCACAAATCTGTTTATCTTTAGAAAATAGCACAGTGCTGTGTAACTATTCACCCCCAAAATTGACAAGCAACTGCCCCAACAGTGTTAATCTAAACAGCACAATATTCACAAAATGTAGATAGTTTGTGCAACACACAGTGGCACCATTTCAGTAAAACAAAGCTGCTAGGATTGGCCAGGGAGTGCATAGCCTTCCAGAGATCTCCCCATTATTTTTCTAGAGACAGACTTCAATTCTAGCTTAAATTTGTCTTCATGTATTTATAGTCACGTAGGTCACTATATTTCTTCAAACCCTTCAGTCGTATTTCAGAAGGTTTTTTTAGGGGCTAGGGACTTGGTTGTTTCAAGTATCACTACGGATTTTCAGATTTTTTTTTTTTAATTACTTAAATGGAATGTTAAGAGAGAAGGCAGTAGCATTTCATTTGTCACCTCTAAGGCTGAGCCCTTCTATACACAGTAACAAGCCACAGGGCTTATTTAATTTCCAGATAATCAGTGAGGCGTGGTGGCTCACACCTATAATCCCAGCACTTTGAGAGGCCAAGGGGGAGGATCACTTAAGTCCAGGAGTTTGAGACCAGCCTGGGCAACATGGTAAGAACCTGCCTCTAAAAAAAAAAAAAGTGTAATTAATTTTAAGTTCATTAAAATTTAATGCAAAGATGTAGTTTCTCAGTCGCCCTAACCACATGTAGCCAATGGATATACCATATTAGCACAGACAGAATGTTTCCATTATCACAGAGAGTTCAGTTGGACAGCTTTGGTCTTAAGTCTGAGCATCTGTGAGGTTACCAGGTTCAGAATGTAGTAAAATAGCAAGAGCTGCCTGCTTCTGTAAGAGAAAGCTCATCCCTCTTGCAAAAGGAAGAAAGGTACCACAGCAGTCCCACTCTTGGGTATATACCTAAGAGAAAGGAAAATACACATGCACATGAAAACTCATACACAAATGTTCATGGCAGCAGCACTCATAATATCCACAAGGGTGGAAACAACCCGATGTCCATCAGCTGAGAAAGGGAGAAACAAACTGTGGTCTCTCCATACGATGGAATGTCAGTCATTCCAAAGGGCTGAAGCACTGACTCGTGCTACAAGGAGATGAACCTTTAGAACATTGCACCCAGTGAAAGAAGCCAGACGAAGAAGGCCACATGGTGTGCGATTCCATTTCTATGAAATATCCAGAATAGGCAAAATCCATAGGGGAAAAAGCAGATGCGTCGTTGCCGGGGGCTGATGGGATGCGGAGCAGTGGGGTGACTGCTTAAGGGGTGCAGGGTTCCTTCGGGGGATGAGAATGTTTTGGAACTAGACGGTCACACGGCATTGTGAGTGTCCTAAGTGCCCCCTGAATTGTTCAGTTCAAAATGGTTCATTGTGTATCCTGAATGTCACCTCGTCTTCTAAAAAATCTGAATCTAATGAATGTGTACCAAATAGAATCAGAGGGAGAAGGAGAAGGCAACTCAAAGGAAGGCTGGTGTCACAGGAGAGCCATGGAGAAGGTGGAACAGCCACCAGGAGGACGGAGGTCCACTCCAGGGCCTCTGCGCAGGACAGTGCCGGCCCCTCGGGTGGAGTGAGGTGAAGCTGGCCACACTGTCCTTGGCACGGCAGCACTCAGAGGCCGGGCACGTTGGGTCACTCTGGGTGGCCGTGGCAGCTCACCTCTGCTAGGCTCTGCCAACAGTCTTTGGGGGCCTTCCCTGGCTCTAGGTGTCACCAACACACACTCACTTTCACTGGGAGTGTCTTGGTCACTCTCCACACATCCGGCTGGCATTTTATCGAGAAAGATGAGAAAAAGATCCTAGGTCCCGGAGGAAGAACGCAGCTTGAGCCAGCCTCCGAAATACAATCACTTTCACAGGTAGGTGTTTGCAGTTTTGCTGAACTCTCAGCCGACCCTTCCCCTCTCCTGGGCGTGGGTCTGTGCCCGGCCCCTGCCTGGTCATCTGCAAGCTCACCAACACGTTCCAGAATCTCCTGATTTTGGCCAGGCGAGGTGGCTCACGCCTGTAATCCTAGCACTCTGGGAGGCTGAGGCAGGAGGATTGCTTGAGCCCAGGAGTTTGAGGTTGCTGTGAGCTAGGCTGACGCCACGGCACTCTAGCTGGGGCAAGAGAGTGAGACTCTGTCTCAGAAAAAAAAAAAAAGAATCTCCTGATTTTTAAAAAAAATTGACCATGCTCCTCCCGGCCATGTTCCCTGAGACGCTAATTAAAGTGTTCTTGTTATCAGAGGAGTGATGCTGACCCTTCAGGGAAGCAGGTTTGGATAGTTTCTCTGACTCGTGTCCAGTGTGGGTTGTGCTGAACTTACTGTCCTTGACTGTATGTGGCCCTATCTGAAAGTGGCCCTAGCTCTGGCCGCCAGAGTCGGCCTCCTGCCTGCCTGGGAGAGTCTCTTGCTCCCAGTGCACCACCCACCACGCCTCAGCCCCGGGGGACGCAGGCTGGCCCAGGACATGCTCCGAAGCCACGTCCATCCCGGCGTCCACTCGTGCCCCCGGCCTCCTGGTCAGCTCCGTCCCCCACCACCTGATTGCAGCTGCTTCTGCACAGGTGGCTGCGGACACCAGGCCCACGGCCCTGCACAGCCTCCAGATGTTGGAGGTGGCAGTGCCCTTGTGGAGCGCCACCCTTGGGCACCCAGGTGAGCTCCGTGAGCTCTGGCCTCAGCTCATCCTCGTCACTTGCTGGCCAGGCCCTCCCAGGTCTCTCCTACTAAATAACCACCCAGCCGAAGACGTCGCAGCTGGAGCGTCTGCCGCCCGAGGTGGGAGCCGGGGTCCCGGACGCAGGTGGCTGGTGGACAGGCTAAAACTGGCTCGTGGGCCCTCGCCACCCACTCAAGCCAGCAGGGTCGGCCCGGGGTTACGGTGAGCGCATAGTGGGTCAGCGGTGGAGCCAAGGAACCTTGAGGCCCTGCCTGGAAGTTGCGCACTGTCCCTGATGTGCCACATGCTGGGGTCACAACGGGTGACAAGGCCAGCTTGACTGGGGATGCTGAGAGCCTCCGCTCCAGCAGCCACAGGCTGGGAGCCTGCGTGGGCTGGGGGAAGAGGAAGGTTCCGGTGGCTCCACCCTGAGACTTCCTGTCTTCTGATCTCATCCAATCCACGACTTCAGTGCGTCCGGAACCATCAGCGGAAGGACATCTTCCCAGAGCTCCGTGCACCTGCCCGGCATTCCCACCCGATGGAGGTGGCCTGACTGCAGCGGCACAGGAACCCCACGGAAGGTTTTCCATTGCCCCACCCCACCCCGCCCCCGTTCCTCTCCCAGTCTCCCCCAGCCCAGGAATTGCTTCTGCCATCCTCTGGTTACTCAGGTAAGTAAAATAGGCAAATAAAAGCACTCTTTCCAGGCTGCTGTAACAAAATACTGTAGACGGGCAATTTATAGACAACAGAGTTTGTGGCTCACAGTTCTAGAGGCTGGAAGTGCAAGATCGAGGTGCCAGCAGATTTGATGTCTGGTGACATGGCGCCGCCTTGCTGTGTCCTCACGTGGTGGAAGAGGCCAAAGGCTCCCGTGAGCCTCTCTTGCAAGGCAGCTCGCCAGGGTCTCTTCTACAAGGGCACTAATTCCATCACGAGGGCTCAACTCCCATGGCCTCATCACCTCCCAAAGGCCCCACCTCTAGATACCATCACCCCGAGGGGGTTGGGATTTTAACATACAAATTTTGGGGGGGACACAAACCTTCCTTGCCCACAGAGAGACCGTCTGCAAGTCCCGTGAGTGTGAGCTTTGAAACGCTGGGATGCATGTACATCTCTCCATCTCAACCCCTGCTGCCCTCGTCTTGAGCACCACCTGTGGTCAGCTGAAGGGTGGCCCGTCCACAGGTGTGCCCACATCCTAATCCCTGGGACCTGTTACTATTACTGCGACCTTGTTCGGATAAAGGATCTCTGCAAGTGCAATTGAGTTGAAGCTTTGGGGATGAGGACATCATTGTGGACTGTCCAGGTGGGCCCTCTAATGACACGTGTTCTTGTAAGGGTGGCACCAAGGGTGGGGGATAGTGGCTCACACCTGTAATGCCAGCTCTTTAGACAGCTAAGGCAGGAGGACTGATTGAGCCCAAGAGTTTGAGACCAATCTGGGCAACCCCATCTCTACAAAAAATAAAATAATTAGCCAGGTGTTATGGCGCGTGCCTGTAGTCCCAGTTACTCTTGAGGCTGAGGCAGGAGGGTTGTTCGAGTCCAGGAGCTCGAGGCTGCAGTGAGCTATGATGGCACCACTGCACTCCAGCCTGGGCAACAGAGCACGAACCCATCTATAACAAAAAATTCACACACAGGAGGAGACACAAACAGAAAAGGGGAACGATGCAGCCACAAACCAAGGAACGCCTGAATCCGCCAGGAGTGGGAAGAGGCAAGGATCCACTGGAGCCTTTGGAAGGATCAAAGCCCTGCCAACACCTTAGTTTTGAATTCTGGCCTCCAGAACTCTTACAGAAGAAATTCTTACTGTTTGAGACCACCCAGTTCCTGGTGGTTCATCACAGCAACCACAGGAAACTACTTTGCCCTCATTTCTCACCTGGACTACTTCACCAGACTCCCTGCTGATCTCCCAACTGTTTTGTTTTTTGTTTTATTTTGTTAATCTCCCAGATTTTAGTCCTTTTCATACTTCCCACAACCCATACCACCACATAAATGATTTTTTTTTTTGAGACACAGTCTCACTCTGCAGCCCGGGCTAATCCTCCTGCCTCAGCCTCTCATGTAGCTGGGACTACAGGCATGTGCCACCAGACCTGGCTATTTTTTCTATATATTTTTAATTGTCCATCTAATTTCTTTCTATTTATTTTAGTAGAGACAGGGTCTCGCTCTTGTTCGGACTGGTCTCGAACTCCTGAGCTCAATCCTCCTGCCTCAGCCTCCCAGAGTGCTAGGATTCCAGGTGTGAGCCACCACACCTGGCCATAAATGATATTCAGAAACACTTAATTCCCCTGTTTGAGAATAAAATCTGCCTAATGTCAATCAACGGAATCCACCATACCAACAGGCTAAAGAAGAAAAGTTATATAATTATCTCAGTTGATACAGAGAAAGCATTTGACAAAATCCAACACCCATTCATGATAAAAAAAAATTGTTTAAGCAAACAAATTCCCTCTCAGCAAACTATGAGTAGAGGAGAACTTTCTCAACTTGATTTAAAAATAAAAAAATCCACCTACATCTAACAACATAATTAATAGCGCAAGACTGTTTTCCCTTGGTTAAAAACAAGGAAAAGATGTCTCTCTAAACACTCATTCAGCATAGTGCTGACAGCTCCAGCCAGTGTAATAAGGAAAAATAAACAAAAGAAAAAGAAATAAAAGGCCTACTGATTAAAATATTAATATTTAAATAGAAAATTAAACTTTCTATTTTCAGATGACATGATTGTCTACATAGAAAATCCCAAGGATTCCTACAAAACAACTCCCAGAACTAACAAGTGAGCTCAGTAAAGTCATAGGATACAAGATCAATGAAAAAGTACTACATTCCTGTATATGAGCAATGAACTTATTAAAAACAAATTAAAAACACAATACCACTTAAATCACGTTTAATCCAAAGAAAATGAAATACACATCATTAACAAAACATGTACATGACTTAATATACAGAAAAATACAAAATGAAAGAAGTCCAAGAAGATCTAATTAAATGTAGAAATATACCAGGTTTATGGATTGGAAGACTCACTGGAGCAAAGATGTCCACTGTCTCCAATTTGATCTATAGGTTTAACACAGTTCTTATCACAATCCCAGCAAGGTGTTTTGTGGGCACAGACAAAATTTCTATGGAAAGGCACAGATCTTACAATAGCTACAAAAACATCTTGAAAAAGAATACAGTGGGAAGAATCACTCTACCCAGCGTTATAGCCACCGAAGTCAATGTGGTATCAACCAAGGGACAGAGACATAGGTCAAAGAGAACCCATAAATAGGGTCTATTTATGCCCCCCCTCAAACAGGCAGGGCTGATTCCTTTTTATAAAGGTACAAACGCAACTCAGTGGAAGACGGGCAGCCCTCTCAACAACTGGTGCCAGAGCAACTGGACATCCACAAAGGAAAAGAAATGAACCTCAGGTTAAACCTCTCACCTTATCCAAAAATTAATTCATAATGGATCATGGACTTAGAAGGACAGCCTAAAACTACAGAACTTGTAGGAAAAAAAGAAGAAAATCTTCAGAATCCAAAACTAGGCAAAGAGTTCTTAGATTTCACACTAAAAGCATAATCGATAAAAGGAAACACTGACAAACTAAACCTCATAAAAATTAAAACTTTTGCTCCACAAAAGCCCAGGTGAGGGGAATGAAAAGGCAGCCAGCAGACTGGGAGAAAATACCATCAAACCGTTTATCTGACAAGGACTAGAATCTAGGACACATAAGCGATCCAGAGCACACTCGGCCCAGCCAGGCCGAGCCCTCTGGTTTCCCTTGTGCCCTGATGGCTCTGGCACCGCTGGGTAGGGAAGTTTCCTGGAACGTGTCCAGTAGCAAGTGGGACTGTGGGTCTTGCCAACAGAAGGGGATGGGATGGGAGGAGCAAAATACTGAATATTCAGGAGGCAGTGAGTAAACAGGAGGCTTCCGGGCTCTAACTACTGATGATTGCTAAGTATATAAGAGGCACTTAATATGCAGGACACTAAATAGTCATGATCACAAAATATACCAGAAACATCAAATATTCAGCATCACTAAACATATAACAGGCACTAACTATTCATGATCACTAAGTGCCCAAGAAGCACCGAATATTAAGGATCACTAAATATGACAGGCTTTGAATAGTCATGATCATTAAGTATACAAAATACACTAAATATGACATATACATGTCATTAAGTACACAAGAGGCGCTAAATGTTCAGGATCATTAAATATACTAGAGAAACTGAATATTCAGAATTGATAAATATGTGAGAGAAGGCACTAAATATTCATGATCACAAAACATACAAATATTTGGGATCACTAAATATACAAGAGGCACTAAACATTTATGATCACTAAGTATACCAGAGGCACCAAATATTCACCGAATATTCACTCAGTGTACCAGAGGCACTAAATATTGAGGATTAGCAAGTACACAAGATGCACTAAATTTTCAGGAACACTAAATGTAGGAGAAACACTAAATATTTATGACCACTAAGTATAGAAAATACACTAATATTAAATATTCATGATCAGGAAGTATATAAAAGGCACTAAACATTCAGGATAGCTAAATACATGGGAGGCACTGAACAGTTATGATCACTAAAGTGATACAAGATACAATACATATTAAATATTAATGATCCCTAAGTATACAAGAGGCGATAAATATTCATGATCACCAAATATACTAGAGACAATGAATATGCATGAACACTAAGTATACAAGAGGCACTAAATATTTAGGATAATACTATACATGAGACAATAGGATGACACTAAATATTTAAGAGGCAGTAAATATTCATGATCACTAAGTATACAAGAGGTGGTAAATATTCAGGCTGCCCAAGTATACAAGAGGCACTGACTAATCAATGTACACTAAATAGGCCTGGCACCCCTGACACACTCAATACCCAGAAGGTCTTAATTCCACCGCCCACTGAGGACACCATTTGGCCCACCGGTTCCCGAGTGGCTGCACCTGTGTGCCATTGTCCAGGTGCCCTTGGTGGCACCTGAGCACTGGTCCTCCTAACGACACTACCCATGGAAACATCTGGCGGCAGAGAGTGCCAACCCCTGTGGACACCTGCACCCAGGATCAGGCAGTGGATTGCCTCCCCGCTGACACCTACCCGCAGAGAGTCAGTGCACCCCCCCCTTACTCAGGTGTGGTCTGCGAGCCCTTCCGTGCCATGACCTGTAGCCTCAAGGTGACTTTCCACGCGTCGCAGCACACAGCAGCTGTTGGAGGTTACCCCAAGGCAAGGGCTCCCGGACACGGCCTTTCCATGCGATCACTTTTCCTCCCTTGGTGGCACTGTGTGTGGTTTGGGCTACTGTCCCGCCTCCTCGACTGCAAGCTGTGCTCTTGGAGGGCAGGAGAAACGCTGCCTGGCTTCATTCCCAAGGACACTGCGCGCACGACCAGTGTACCCCAGAGACCATCCATCCAGGGTTGCTGAATGCCGGGCTCTCGGGTCTCATATGGAGGAACCCATGGGCTGGGGTGGGGTGGCGTGGCGCACTTGCGTATGATAGACCCATCGCTCTCACACTTGAAGATTTCACATCTCTGACCCGAGGAGCTTTACCTACACGGTCTCCAAGCCCTTGAATGCAGGCCACCTCAGATTACTTCTTGGGGATTCTCCAGGAGAAGCACAGAGCCTTCCAAGGAAAAACTCCAATCTTTTTGTTACTAATTAATTTTAGATACAGGTCTTGCTCTGTGGCCTGGGCTGGAGTGAGGAGGCGCACTCACAGCTTACTGCAGCCTCCAACTCCTGGACGCAAGCCAGCCTCCGCAGGTGCGCTCGCCCACACCAGACCCATTTCTCTATTTTTTTTTTTGTTAATGGGGGGAGAGTGTCTTACTATGTTGTCCAGGCTGGTCTGGAACTCCTGGGCTCAAAGTATCCTCCCACTTTGGCCTCCCCAAAGTGCTAGGATTACAGGATTGAATTACCGGACCCAGCCACAATCTTTTTGTTGTTGAGAATGCTTTACTGATTTATTTTTGTTTTTTCCCAGCTTTATTGAAGTAGGAGCCACATAGTTTTTATTATTAATATTGTGATATATAATAATGTCTCTGTATCTATACCACATTTTCTTTGTCTATTCATCCATCGATGGGCATTTATTTAGGTTGTTTCCGTGTCTTGGCTATTGTGAATAATGCTGCAATGAACATGGGAGTGCAGACATCTCCTCCAGATCATGATTTTATTTCCTCTGGGCGCACACCCAGAAGTGAGATGGCCGAATCAACAAAAGTAAAAGGCAACCTGCAGGGTGGGAGAAAATATTTGCAAAACATACATCTGATGAAAGGTTAATCTACTAAATATACTCCTACAACTCAGTAGTAAAAACAAAACAAAACAGAAAACCACACGCCAAAATAATCCAACTGAAAACTAGGCAAAGGACCTGAACAGACCTCTCTCCCCAGAAGACATACCACTTGGCCAACGGGTATGCGAGTAAGGTGCTCGGCATCACCGACCATCAGAGATACGCAGAGCCACCGTGGCGTCATCTCCAAACACCTGTGCAGGTGGCGGCTGTCAGGAGGACGAGCGACAAGGAGTGTGGCCCCTTGCTCGCGCCCGGTGGGGGCGGACACCGGGGCAGCCCCCGTGGGAACTGCACGGGGCTAACCGCGAGCCCCAGCCCTTCCGAGCCGCCTTCTCTTTACCTCTGACCACGCCTCCTCCTCCCACCCCCGCTCCGGGCTCCCGCTGCCGGCCAGAGGCGCAGCGCTCCGGGCCCTGCGGCCCGCCTGGCTCCGCTCCGGCTCCGTCCCCGCCCGCGCCCTGCTCGGGCTCCCCCGCCTCCGCCCTGCTCGGGCTCCTGCGGGCGTTCTTGTCTGGCGTGCTCACCCCCAGGTACCAAGAGCCATCCTGGCACACAGTCGGTGCTAAATAGACATTTGATGGATTAATTGGGAAAAAAAAAAAAAAAAACAACCAGCGCGAGGGGTTCCTGTCCTTTGGTCAGAGG